TCAGCATCTTGATATGCCACACCTGTGAGGTGGATGGATTATCTCGGCAAAGGAGAAGTGCTCACTAACACAGATTTAGACAGATTTGTGAACAATATTTGAGAGAAATAGGCCTTTTGTGTACATAGAAAAAGTCTTAGATCTTTGAGTTCAGCTCATGAAAAATGGGAGCAAAAACAAAAGTGTTGCGTTTATAATTTTGTTCAGTGTATATTTATTTTTTTTTATGAAAATTGTTATAACATTAGTATTATATATTTATGTATGTATGAATTATATTATTATTATAATTATAGAACCTATTGCATCAAATTTTATTCACCATGTAAGGCCCACTTTAGAGGTCACAACGTCATATTTGTTGAATAAATATATGTATGTTGGAGTCAGACTTCCACATCTTTGCAGCTGCAAATCTTTTGCGGTTTCCACGGCAACGCTGACTTTAGAGGCTGCACGGTGAGTAAGGAGAAATAAAAAAGATGAGAGGTCGAGAGCGAGACACACAGACAAAATAAAGACAGACGTACGCAGAGAGACAGAGGCAAAAAGACTCAAGTTAAAACTCACAAAAAAAGCAAATAGGATGCAAAGCCAGAAACGGCGACAAGGCTGGCGGCGAGGCAGTCAAGATAGTGTGAAAAACAGGAACGGAATGACTGGAGGAGGAGTCAACGGGGTTAATTACCATGTCTGATAGCCGCAAACCCTTGAAGGCACATGTTAGGAACCAAAGGGAAGATACGTGCCGGACAAGTTCTACTAAAGTTGATGAGGAAATGATGAGGTGTTGTGTCAGAGCTGAGGGTGTGAAATATATTCACACAACTTTACTTTTAGTCACTGTAGCAGGTGTGTGTGTGTGTGTTTGTGAGTGCTGACTGGAGCCCCTCCGGTCAAATGTAAGCATTCTTTTCTAGGGCAATGACCATCTCTCTTCATTAGCATTTGTCATGGCTGTTGAGATTAAATTAGAGTGGGAGTGTATAATTCTCGATAAGCTGTGCTGCAGCAGTAATTGAGCCATGTGCTATGTCAGTGCATGGGTCTGTTTGCCTCCCTCAGAGCAGAGAGCATCAAAACTGCTGTAAAGAGCCAAGTAAATTCCTGAATCACGTGAAGAACCACTGCAGGACGCACGTTTAATGCATCCAGCTGTCCTTACTCAACACTTTTGGCTTTGACACAACAGATATGAGCCAAATTTAGGATGAGATTTAAGCTAATAAAATTTTAGCACATCAAGGTAAATCAAAGCAATAAAACAGGAAAACGCAAATGTGCTTTTGTACCTTGCATGGGCAGGAACTATGAAAGCCTGTTCATTTATTTCTAGTAAATACAAATTTATATCTCACAACTGCAATTTTATTTCTCATAATTGTTATTTTATATCTCTCATTTGCAGCTTTGCATCTGCAACTACAACTTTATTTCTCACAAATGCTTTTTATCTTCCAACTGAAACTCATAATTGCAACTTTGCATCTCTCAGTTGCGACTATATCTCTCAATTTTGAATTTATATCTTACAGCTGCAACTTTATTACTTATAATTGCGATCTTACAATTGTGACTATATCTCTAAATTGTGACTTTGTATCTTAAAACTAAAACTTTATCACTTATAATTGCAACTTTATTTATTTATTATAACTGCAACTTTATTTCTTATCATTGTGACTTTATGTCGTACAATTGTGACTATATCTCTCAATTTTGACTTTATATCTTACAACTGCAACTTTATCACTTATAATTGCAACTTTATATCTTACAAGTGTAACTATATATTTAAACAGACTTTATATCTTAGAACTAAAACTTTATTTCTTATAATTGCAACATTATATCTTACAATTGTGACTACATCTTACAACTGCAACTTTATTTCTTATAATTGCGACTTTATATCTTACTATTGTGACTATATATCTTAATTGTGACTTTTTATCTTAGAACTACAACTTTATTTCTTATAATTGTGACTTTATCTTACAACTGCAACTATATTTTTTATCATTGTGACTATATCTTACAACTGCAACTTTATATCTCATAACCGCAGCTTTTTATCTCAAAATGTGAGTTTATTTCTTATGTTAAACTTTACGTTCTGTCTCTGTGACCTGTTTTAGGTGGAAACGGGCTTTCATAAGAAATCTACATCTATGTGGCTTAACTGTGTAAAAGTTTGATACCTACCTGTAGTGGTAAATAGGTAGTCAGTGCTGATGTTTAGCTTGGAAATATAAATCAGCATGAAGATGAGGCACAGAAGACGCAAATATGACAGCTTTCCGCCTTGCATGCTTTTTTCTTTATTTAATCCCTTCTTT